CTGGCAGGGATAGATGTGAGGTTGAGGGGGTGGTATGGCATGATGCTATGGGGCTAGTCTGGTATGAGGTTGAGGGGATGATCAGTCAAGATGGACTGGGATGGGTTGATCCATGTCACTGGCATCGGAGCTGTCATGTTCAGTTCAATAGTAAGTCTCCTGATCTGTGCTCCCAAACTGGAGGAGGGACCCTATCCAGAGGGTCCTCCTGTTCCTAGTCACAGCCCTTGGAGTCATTGTATGCTTCTGGGTTGATGCTGGAGTCAGCAACAAACCAGGGCTCTATTGAGTCTCTGCTGGCCACAGTCTGTGACAGCTCCTTCTGGCAGGTGCAGGTCACCCTCTGAGTGCCTGGGCCTGGTTGACATCATGGTCCTTATTTTGTTCCTTCAGCACTTTGGCCTTGGCACAGGACTGGTGCCAATCATGGTTGTGCTTCCAAGCAAGCCATTTCAGGGGCAGTTCACTTATAGACAGTTTGGTTGTAATAGTTCCCTCTCAGTGAGTGTTGGATGTTCTTGTTCCCCCAGTTGGCAGGGACAGCTATTACTTCTGCCCAGCTCCAGTTAGTTAACTACCTTGTGTATGGAGCAGTGGACAGTGGCACTGTTACTATGGTTCAGACTGCTTCTGACATGCTGCAAAGGGTCCTTGACACTTTTCAGATACGGGAGAAGCAGAGTCCTTGGGGTACAGGGTCAACAAATGAGACAAAGCACTGTGGGGTGCTGGGAGACTGACCAACTCACTATCATGCTCTGTTGGAGGATGCGGAGTACTTTACTATAAGGTTTGTAAAAGTTGTTTCTTTTTCCAGGATCATTTTTAAAGATGAAATGGTCCTGTTTGAAATAGTTTATCATAGGTCTGTGCCCTCATTTTTGGAACACTTTAGAGACACTTGGGGCGCTACAAATGTTATGTCTGTCCATACCTCTCCTACTATCCCTTAATCTTAATCTGTCTTAATCTGTATTGTTTCTTGACCAACTACCATACTGAGTGTTCACAACATTTCCATTTTTCAGCATCCATTGGTGCCCTTTTAAGGATGAAAAAACATTCTAAAAACCAAAGCCTGGGAGTTCGTACAAGAGATATGAAAGCCTAAATGACAAAAAATGACGTAAAATCAGTTTTTCCCCTACATTTTGCCTGACAAGATTATAGTTCAGAACCCCTTCAGGTTTGTCTTGCATCCATTTTATGGCATTATTCGTGACAAAATCAGTGTAAGTAATGCAGCTACCTGTCCTGCTTTTCTAGTGAATTTTCTATTTTGATGCCAACTACTGTAACTAGAAAAATCTAAATGCCAAAAGTTTGAAATACTGCTATCTAATTTTTAGTTCACATTTAAAAGGTGTTTTTCTGCTTTAAATCCACACTTACTCTATCTTAAATATTTGATTTCAAAGAATTAAATGTCATCTGAAGGTGTATCCTTTCAAACATTTTAATGTGTTTAGCCAGTAATAATGGTTATCTTGCAACAAAACTCATTAAATCAAAAATTCTTCAAATAAATGTTGAAGAAAGTCTTTTTTGCTGCAGAGAAACAGTTCTTTACCTGATGAGAATAATGTTGCTAGACTTCAAGAAGAACTGATTGCAGTGAAATTAAGGGAAGCAGAAGCTCTGATGGGACTAAAAGAACTTAGACAGCGAGTCAAGGATTTGGAGGAGCACTGGCAGGTATAAATATAATATACCTTTTGAAAATGTATTTTTAAGAACGCAAAAATGAGAATATATAAGTCTGAAAAATGGCTGTCTGGTAGAAATTGGTGGATGGCATTGGGCAAGAGAAGTGTTAAATGAGGCTGCTACAAGAAACTTTACTTAAATGTACATTTAAAAAACATCTGAAATTGGACCCAGTTGTAGCCATGTGTTCCTACCTCATTACAGACTGAAGTGTTCAGTAGGAAGTACATCAGCAGAAAGTGAAAACAGGGATCCTACTTCCATGAGTGCAATTGAAATGTAAAACTTAGCAAAGTCCTCTTATTACATGTTAAAATGCTCGAACTTCTCCTTTTTCCAGTTGTCCCAATTGTCGATTGCTGCCTTTAAGTTTCCATTTCTCACTTCTTATAATTATGTATATTTGTGACCATTGCTACTTTTTTTTGACAAACAGGAACATGGTACTTCAAAGGGTGCCTTTACACATGCAACGAGGCTGCTAATTACAGTGTGTTGGGGCAGACTCAATTGAACGAGCCTCAGTTAAAGTGCCCCCGCCACCATTTTTCAGCACAGGGATGCTGATACATATGACGCTCCAGGTGCTTTAATTAGAATGGCTCTTGGAGCCACTGTAATAGTTGTCGTCCGCTTCCCCCCCCCCCAAACTCCTGGAGCACATGTATAAACACCCTTTGTGAAGTATTTTGTTTTCAATTGGAGAGGAGACTGTAATATTCAACCAAAATTAGTTTTATAAACTTGTAAATTATTTTAGCGTCACCTAGCTCGTACCACTGGCAGATGGAAAGATACACCCAGAAAGAACACGGTGAATGAGCTGCAAGATGAATTAATGACTATCCGATTGAAAGAAGCAGAAACTCAGGCGGAGCTAAAAGAGATGAAACAAAGAATGATGGAGATGGAAACTCAGGTATGATATTGAAAACTAGCATTGCAATGATGTAGGACAATACTAATGAATTAGAGGCATAACTAAGAATTTTTGTGCCTGTATAGGGAAGAGGAGAAAAGACTCAAAAACCCTGGCAGCTTGTACCAGGGCTGGGTTCTCTGTCTCTCTGGCAGCTGCTGCTGCAGTGGTGTGGGCTCCCCACACATCAGCTCCTGCTGCCATTCTGGTGCCCCCTCCAAGTCAGTGTCTGGTGCCCCAAAGGCTAGTGTTATGAACCTAAGCAAATATTGGCATCTAGGGAGCCAATTATAGCCTTTCCCTTGATAGTTATTTCATAGGACAGTAATTCCAAAACCGTTTGATTTTTTTCCAAGCTGTGAGATTGATTGAGAGAACATTCCATTTACAATTTGATTTTTTTCATGCCTCTTCAATTATTTTAGTAACCAAATTTCATTTTTCTAAATTTTTCATGGTTGGCTTAATTAACTCTCTATACAGAGTGAATGTGCATGAATCTTAATATACTTAGAAATCTGGCTTACTGGAGCAATAAAAATGTTTTAATTAACTATTCTGAAATTTTTACAGGTCCTTTATATAGCTGACAATACCAGCCTTTGATATAGATTCTCTCCAGACCCTGGTACCTTAAGGAGCCTTGCCCTACAGTCCCAGAAAGACTCTTTAAGCTGCTGGGTCCTGGCGAGCCTCAGGGCCTGGGGCAGTTGCAGGATCTGGGACATAGCCCTTGCCTGCCTGATCCTGAATCTGAACTGGGGCAGGACTGCCTGATGCTGAATCTCAATGCTCAGCTGAGTGTTGGGGTCTGGCACAGGACAGCCCTGGGGGCTGAGACAAAGTTGCTCTTGCCTAATTGGTAGGATTGGGCTGGGGTAGTTTCATAGTTGGTAGGGTCGGACAGGACCTGAGGAGATCATCTAGTCCGACCCCCTGTCGTGGCAGGAAAGAGTACTGGGGTCAAACAGCCCCGGCCAGATGTTTGTCCAGCCTTTTTCTAAAGACCCCCAGGGTAGGAGCCAGCACCACTTCTTTTGGAAGATGGTTCCAGGTCCTAGCCGCCCTGATGGTGAAATAGCGCCTCCTAATGTCTAGCCTGAAACTACCCTCCGCTAGCTTGTGTCCGTTGTTTCTTGTAAC